TAAGGCCCAGTGAGTCTAACAGACTTCTCCAGAGTTAGTCGCTGGGGGAGTGGGCCTTGAACCCAGGTACTCTGGCTCCAGATGGCCTCTCTCTGAGCCTGGAGGGGCCAAGGCCTCCTTGAGATGGTTTCTGACATGACTGAATTTAAAGCAGTGGCAGGCAAGTAGAGCTGTTTGTTGAAAAAACGGATGGTGTTCTGTGGAGAGCTGGCAAGAAATACTGCTGATTGGTTGCCTGATAAGTATGGAATGGGATCTGGAACATTTCATGCGCTCATTAAATAAACATGCAATTGTGGCCACTTGTAAGTGACAGAAACTATTCAGAGTAGCCGAGTTTTCTCTTTTCTCCTTTAGACAGGGGAAGAACTGCGCTCAGACTTGGCCATGGCTTCCCAAGGATAAATGCTCAGATGTGTACATCCTGGAATAGTCCACCATTGCCTACCTTCAGGAAGATACAAAAAGACCATTTTGTTGCTTGCAAACCAACGGTTTTTAGCATCTTGCATACATAATCTACACAGCATTTTTTGGTTGGTGTGGGAAATGAGGTCCAGAAAGACTCATAAGAGGTGACAAACACTGCAAGCTGGACCATTCACTATCTTCGATAGGAGTCTAATCAGAGCGGTGGACTTTGTCTGTGATCCCATGCCCGTTACACGCATTACAAAGTGGGGTCATTGGACCAGCAGAACCAGCATTCCCTGCGATCCTGTTAGAAAGGCCAACTCAAACCCAAACCCAACCCACTGATAGTCAAGTTGATTCCAACTCATAATAACTACGCTATAGGACAGAATGGAAGTTTCCTGTAGGGTTTCCAAGGCTATGGATCTTTACGGAAACAGACTGTCATATCTTCCTCCTAGGGCACAGCTGATGGGTTCAAAAAGCTAACCTTCCAGTAGTAGCCAAGTGCTTTAACCTCTGCACCGTGAAGGCTCCCTTGATGATGTACTTCTTGTGTTGTTAGGTGCCTTCGAATCGGTCTGACTCAGTGCCTCTGCACAACAGAACGAAACATTGCCCGGTCCTGCTCCATTCTCACTGTGTCCATCTGTCTTGTTGAGGGTTCTTCTAGAAATGTGTCCAAAGTACAAGAGATAAGTCTCTCCATCCTGGCTTCTAAGGAGCACTCTGGCTGTACTTCTTCCAACGCAGATTTGTTCATTCTTCTGACAGTCCATGGCACTTTCAATATTCTTTACCAAAGTTCAAATACATCTATTCTTCTATGGTCTTCCTTTTTCATTACCCAACTTTCACATGCATATGAGGTGATTAAAAATACCAGGACTTTAGTCAGGCACACTTTAGTCCTCAAACTGACATCTTTGCTCTTTAACACTTTAAAGAGGTCTTATGCAAGAGATATACCTAATGCCATGTGTTATTTGATTTCCTGACTCCTGCTTCTATGAGCACTGATTGTGGATCCAAGCAAAATGAAGTATTTTTGCTTCCAATAAGTTTCATCTTTTCTCTATTTATCATTATGCTATTTAGTGGTTATGTTGCGATTTTTGTTTCCTTTACATTGAGCTACAATCCATAAAGAAGGCTGTAGTCTTTGATCTTCATCCATATTTCAAGTCATCTTCACTTCCAGCAAGCAAGGTTATATCACCTGTATATCACAGATTGTTCATGGGTCTTCCTCCAAACCCAAAGTCAGGCTGTTCATATAACCCAGTTTCTCAGATTATTTGCTCAGCATATAGATGGAGTAAGTGTGGTGAAAGAATACAACCCTGGCACACACCTGTTTGAACCACTGACTCTTAGTCTCTGTATGGGTTTCTCGTGAGCACAATCAAGTGTTCTGGAATCCCCATTCCTCTCCATGTTATCCATAGTTTGTTATGATCCACATAGTCGAAAGTCTTCACAGTCAATAAAGCACAAGTAAACATCTTCTTGGTACTCTATACTTTTAGCCAAGATCCATCGGACATCAGCAGTGATATCTCTAGTTCTACATCTTCTTCTGAACCAGGCTTGAGTTTCTGGCAGCTCTCTGTTGATGCACTGATGCAACTGTTTTAAAATTATCTTTAGAAAATTTTAACTTTTATGTGATATTAATGATTTTCCGTGATTTTCTCATTGCTTTGACTCATAACAACCTTGTATAGGGTTTTCCAAGACTGTAAATCTTTACAGGAGCAGACAGCCTCCTCTTTCTTCTGAGGAGCAGCTGGTGGATTTGAACTGTCAACTTGTGGTGAGTAGCCCATTACTTATCCTACAGTGCCACCAAGCTCCTTGACCTTTAGATTGTTACTGTTTTTAGGTGCCCTTGAGTAGGTGCCAACTCATAGTGACCCCGACTCATGGCAGCCTATGTGCAAGGAAATGAAATGCTGCTGTTCCCCATGATCACCAGGAGCCATAGAGTTTTCACTGGCTGATACTCAGAAGTAGATTGCCAGGACTTTCTTGCTAGTCTGTCTTAGTCTATTATAAAGTCTCAGTTGAGAAGAATATTCGTCCAGAGACCGCCATGTATGGACTAAGTAAGTAATAAGTTAAAAACTCCCCACCGCCCATGGTTCAAACTTCAGCCAAACAACAGAGAGATCTGTAAGAGGTATAATAACACCAAGGAGGTACACACACCTTGGAATAATCAACCATTAGAGATTAAAAAAAAAAGCAGCGTGTATCCAAGATAAAAGAAGGGCAGAAGAAGGAACGGACACAGGACACACAGAGAGGAAGTGGGCTAAGCGATGTCACATTGTGGGGACTGCAATCAATGAGAGGAAACAAAATGTGTCTGAATTGTTGAATGTAACACAGATCTGCTCTATAAACCTTCACCCAATTCATGATATAAAGTTAAAACTAAATAAATATCACAGTAATATTCTTTCTTTCCTTCATAAGTTGGGTGTAATGAGTTGAAATGAATCTGGGAAGTGGTGTTGGTTTTGTTTTTTGTTGGTTTCGCACATAGTGATTTTGCAGTTTCAGTGAGCTAGAACTGGAAGCCTCAAAGCACTGTGAGAGAGACGAATTAAGCTAAACCGGCATCTGAAGACTTTATCTTAGAAATCGCTTTTTGGCCCAATTCTGTATATGAGAATTTTCTTTCTTATAATTTTCCTAACTCTACGGGCTAGCATCTAGCCCTGGTAGCATAGTGGATTACAAATTGGGTTGCTAATCACAAGGTCAGCAGTTTGAAACTACCATTGGCTCCGTGGGAAAAGATGAGGCTTTCTGCTCCCATGAAGATTTACAACCTCATTACAGAAACCCAATACAGGGTTGCCATGAGTCAAAACCAACTCCACGGCACAGAACCATTACCACCACCATGGGCTCTTGTTATTGTTAAGTGCCGTCGAGTCGGTTCTGACTAGCGATCCTGTATAGGGTTTCCAAGAAGCAGCTGGAGAGTTTGAACCGCCAACCTTGTGGTTCAAATTGACCTTGCCGTACAGAGCTTATTCTACAGTGCCATCATGGATGGTTGTTGTTGTTGTTGTAAAGTGCCCTCGAGTTGGTTCCAACTCATAGCAACCCTGTATAAGGTTTCCGAAGAGCAGCTGGTGAGCTTGAACCGCTGATCTTGCAGTTCAAATGGACTTGCAGTCTGGCACATTAACCTACAGCGCCACACCAGGACGGCAAAACCTCTGGGTTCCTATGGCTGGCATCTGGCACCTATGAAGCACCTATGAGAAACCGAGTTGACGGCTCAGGTGGTGGCAGTCTTTGTCCAGGCCCACCTGAGAATTCCCAGATGCCCAACAGCCCGGCTCACCTTCACTCCCAAGGCTTCTCCAGAAATGACAGCAACTGTCACGCCGTTCTTACTGGGTTTAGGGATGTCTTCACCTTTCAATTCCTGGTACTGAGGTTCCACCATCTTCTCTGAGCTCCTCAAATTCACCCACAGCTGTAGGCCATGGACTGGCTCCTCGGAGCATGGCATCTCGGCATGCAGGATGCCCCGGCCTGCGGTCATCCACTGCCAACATCAGACCAACAAGAAGAGAAGTGTCAGGCAGTACCCAATAAGCCCACAGGTGGAACTTGCTGCCAGAGGAGGGACAGACCACAACACGGATGACAGATGACAGACAGGAGTCCTTTCTAGTTTTCCCAGTGCTTCCTCATGTGAAATCAAAGCATCGAACTGGAATCATCAGAAACGTTTGAATCCCCCCTTGGCTGACCCTGAGCCTTATACTAGGCTCTGATGGGGAGCTACAGGTAAAGAATATATTGGGGTGCTCTTGGGATATGCAATTGTAAAAAGGGGAGAAAGGCAGGACTGAGTGAGGTGGAGTGGAGGTGGGGAAGCCCACTAGAACGGGAGCTGAAGTTACCCTTCAGAAACAAACGAAAACCAAACCGGATGCTGTGGGTTGTCTCCATAGGGTTGTCTTGGCTGTAATCTTTATGAGAGGAAATCGCCAGGCCTTTCTTCTATGTGCTACCTGGGGGTGTTCAAACTACCAATGTTTATTTTAGCTTTTAGTAAACAGTTTATACCACCAGGAACCTTCAGAATTGCCCCAACTTGAGGCAAGATGGTCAAGCTTTTCTATCTGACTGTGTCATCCCCAGTTAAGGATGCAGTCTTGGGAGAGGTAGTTTCCTGCTGGGGCTGGTAGGGAGGAGCGCTGCCTGGACAGGGATGTAGCAGTGAGTCTTCCACCGCCATTATTCCAGCAGACAGGCAAGCATGCAAGGGCCTAACGATTCATGTGTGGTCCCACAGGTGACTTCAGTCTCTGTTTGCACACGTCTGGAGACAGAGTCCTCACTACTTGGATTCCCAGTTATCGCCTAACTGCTGTGCACAGGCGTCTAGCATTTCTGTATGAAGCAGGTCTCTACAGCTGGCCATGGAGTATTTGTTCTGCCTGAAGCTGACTACTCGTATGCCTCAAAGGCTTGTCCTCCCATTGTAAACAGTGCATTTCACCACACTCTCCATCTGCCTTCTAAATGACCTTGGCTCTCTGTTTTAGATATAGCCTAGATTGGTGCCGTGGTTAAGCTCACCCAAAGGTAACAGGTTCAAAACCACCAACTGCTCCGTGGGAGACAAGATGTGACAGTCTGCTTCTGTACTGATTTCAGCCTTGGGGCCTGTCAGGGGGCAGCTCTACTCTGTTCTAGAGGGTCAGTGATGAGTTGGACCCGACTCACAGCACACAACAGCGACAGCAATTTGCCCATACCTTTGCCTCTTTTCAGCCTCACCATTTAGTAGCTCCAAGGCCATGGGTATGTGTTTAAATCACCATTCCTTCATTTTAAAAAGGAGGAAAAAATCATACTGGTCTCAAAGAGATTACGCACATGAAAATGCTGGCTGTACTCAGTGAGCACATCGTTCTTTTACTATACTGGCAGACAAGGACACTGTCGGCTCACAGGGATGATGGCCAAGCCGATCTGATGGTACAGAAGGCGGACAAACCACCACTGCCTTATCAGGGCATCGTCAGGCACTGTCTGCAACTTTTGAGCCAGTCCCCAGTTACACTCTGCCCCCCTGAGGGGTTCTTGTGGTGTTTGGATATGACTCAGTTGTTTTGGCTTTTCTCTCTTGAAATATAACATTCACTGAAACAAATACTTGCATTTATCCTTCCACAAAATATGTGAATGACTGCAGAAAGCACCTGATGTAGCTGCGTAGAGTTCAGACTTTAAAAACTGGTAAAGATGACCATCCGTTTCCCAGGGATTGGGATTGTAATATAGCTCAGACAAGACTAGGGTGGTGGCGGTTGGGGCACTAGGATTTTAAGTGACCACACCCAACCCTAAACAGAAGTTGCAGTTAAGATGTCTCCAATGCAGCAGAGAGGTCAAGAAAGCTGAGCACGGAACATGAAGCGCTGGATTTGGGTAGCTCTAAGTCATGGTTGGTGGCTCAAGCTCACCGGCTGCTCCTCAGAAACCCTATCCAGGGTTGCTATGGGTCGGAACCAACTCGATGGCATTTAACAACAACAAGAAAAAGTCATGGTGATGGTTACGAATCGGGCTGTGAACTTCAAGGTCAGCAGTTCGAAACTACTAGCTGCTCCGTGGGAGAAAGATGAGGCTTTCTGCTCCCGTAAAGATGTATAGCCTTGGAAACCATGTACAGGGTCGCTACGAGTCAGAACCGACTCCACAGTACTTAACAACAACAAACAAGTCATGGTAGGCAAGGAGTTCTGAGAAAAGCCCATGCTGATTGCAGTGAGTGGGGTTGGGGGGGGAATGGGAGGTGAGTGGGGATAGTTATTCCTAACCACTCTTAAGAGAACAACTAGGGAGGGAGCTCAAAAGGGGTTGAGGGGCCAAGGAAAGCATGTGAGAGGGAGACAGGAAACAGGAGACACATGCATGTTTCCAAGGCCAGTGGAAGGCAGGCACCCTAGGAAGGGAGACGTGGGAGTAAGAGCAGAGAGAGAGAGGAGAAAGGACCACCATGTAGGAAGTGGGTGGGATCAGGTGCACACAAGCAAATATTTCCACTGCCAGCTATTGCTCGCCATTGACCATACCTGCAGATCTCCTGGGTTCAATTGACCAACGTGTCCACAGAAGTCTTCATGGGCCATGCTCCCCCCTTCCAGGAGGTAAGAGACCTTTGAAAGCAAAGAGAAGAAAACAATAGGTGTGGGTAGCTGTGTAGAGTTGGTCCCCTTTTCCAGAGAAATGTTGAGAAAAGTGTCAGGAGCAACTCGAAGCGGCGCAAATGTTGTGGTGTTGAATCTCGGTGCAAAAGCTGTGCTAGCTCAGATCATAAGGTTGGTGGGTTTGAGTTTGAACCGCCAACCTTATGATTAGCAGCCGAACGCTTAACCCACTACACCAGCAGGGCTCCTCATGAATGTGTCACCCCTAGTTAGGATGCATCCTTGGGAGGCAATTTCCTGCTCGGGCCGATGGGGAGAGGCATGGCCTAAGGAGGGATGTAGCAGTGAGTCTTTCGTGGCCATTATTTCAGCAGGAGGGATAAATCCCTGGAGAAGGGCATCATGGTTGATTAGGGTCAGAGAAACAAGAGGAAGACCCTCAATGAAAGGACTGACACAGTGACAGCCACGATGAATCCAAACGTTCAAACAATGACGAGGATGGCACAGGCCCGGGCAGTGTTTTGTTCCATTGTGCACAGGGTCACCATGACTCAGAGCTGACTCAAGGACACCGAAGAACAATAAGGCTCATTCTAAAAGCAGAAAGAGCAATGGAATCGGAGGATGGACTAATCTAATCCCCTCTGTCCTTGAGTTGATTCTGAGTCACAGCAACCAGCAGGACAGGGTAGAGCTGCCCTATAGGGTTTCCAAGGCTGTAACCATTGTTTTTTTTTTTTTTTATATGGACAGGGTAGTCAAATTTATTTCAAAACCAACGTTTTGCTGAGCTGCATCAAATGCAGGAGAAAAAGAATATTTAAGGGCATGGTTAAATTACCAGTGTGTATAACCGTGAGGTATGCATCCAATAACCTTTTAAAACTTTTAAAAACAGCTATAACATACCCATGCAGGAATAATTTTTTCAGTGTTAACTTTTAAAAAATTAAAGCCTGAACTGGAAATTTACAATATGGCAGAATTGTTTCTCCTACCCTTTGACCCTCTAATGTTAATGTACAGATTTTATGACAAGGGTCTGTGTTATAAATCTAAACATCTCACAAGATTTTAAACACCACTGGGAAACTGAATTTAGAGGAAATAAAGTCAGATAAAAGTACAATGCCC